ATTTTAGGTTTTGGCAGAAAAAAAAAGCTTTAAAATCTCTAAAAACATTAAATTTAAAAATCAATTGGTTTGTAGCTTGTTCGGTTTCTAGTATTATATTTTTAGCACTTGCTCCGAATGGAACTAATATTATTCCAGTGTCTTATAGTCAAGCCAAAACTTTAACTAAATTAATAAAATTTCAAGGTAAGAACAAAAATAGTAAAATTAATAATTATTGTCCTGTATTATTTACCTTTAACTTAACATTAATAAAAAAATGTTTTTTTTTGTTTTTTATTTAGTTGATCCTCCAGGAACTCCGACAAGAGAACAATTATTAGAAAAATATGTTACACCATCTGTGTTGTATGGTAATACTTGCATATTAATCCTTCATCATCCAGCTCAATCGTCTACTCACAATTCATCTGGTTCCCAAATTGTAATTTACACAGTTCACAGGTAAATAAATAATATAATCAAATGATAAAAAATTAAATTAAAATTGTTTTTTTCATTTTTATATTTATTGTAAATTTCTAGGCTACTTCAAACAACTAGAAAAACTCATATTTTACATCTTCAATGTTCTGGATTTTTTCAAATAAGTACAATTGACAATTTAATTTTGGTACATCATCAAGGATCAAGTAGTACCTTACTTTTTGACATAGGTTCTGATTCGGATAGTTTAGATCCTGTTAATATAAAACCCATGATCAAACCCATGCCTATGAAGCCTTGCATAGTTGATTTACCAGGACAAGAACCTTTTCAATGTCCTTTATATTCCGCCAATTGGGTTATTTTTCAACCCAACATAATAATTGATGCATTTTTAGGATTTTTGTGGTAGTTAATTTTTTGTTTTTCATCGAATGTAATTTTCTAAAATATTTTTTTTAAACGTAATTTAATTTTAGTTTTTTTTTTTTTTTTTACAAGGTATGTTGATATCGATTTGTCGATTTTATGCGAATTAGATATTCCGACGGAAAAATTAGTTAATTTTTTACTCAGAAGAAAAACGGAAAAGGCTCTACCATTGCTTATCAAGGTATTAATTTATTTTTTAATTTTCTAATTTTCAATAGCAGAAAAAGGAAAAGTTATGGATTTGATTTATTTTTCCAGGTCATAGAAGATATAACCGATCCGTGTAAAGAACCGAAACACGATTTGAAAGTAATTTCTCAGGTTTTTGACTTGATTAATACGGCTTATAGAAAACAATTGAATAAATTAGCTCAACCGCATATAGGTACTCCTGCGGGTCAGTTAACTAGTCAGCCGACCGTTATAAAAGACACGGGACCTGAAAAAATTGTCGTCGACGAGCAAACAATGTGTTCGAATATTTTTTCGAAATTTTCAGAAAAAAAAAATTTACCCAATTACAATGGTAAGTAATTTTGAGAGTGCATCCAAGTCAAAAATCTAATTTTTTTTTGTAAATATAATTTTCTCTCTCTCTCTCTCTCTCTTAATCGTTTTTATCGAATTGTTTTTTTTTTTTTTTAACAGGAGAATTCGGGATAAAAGTCATTTTAGAATATCTTAGATCTCTCAACGATTTGCAAATACCTTTTCAAGATTTAAATAATTTATTAATTGATTGTTTACTTCGGGAAAAACACGGCCTGTCGAGACTTCATAATTTGTTACAATATAGAGTTTTGCCGGATTCTAAATCATTGGTAAAAATTTTTACATAAAATTCTATTAATATAATTTATATTAATGGATTGTGTGATGACATTAAAAAATGATGAGGTAGACAGAGAGAGAGAGTTATTAATTTGAATTTTTTTTTTTTTTTTTGTTTCAGGCATGTTTACTGTTATCATTAAAAAATATATATCCGCCCGCACTTCAATTATCATTGGACATGCTTAAAAGGTTGGGTAACGCAGATGATGAAATAATGGAAATACTTTTACATAAAAAATTAATTTTACCCACTATAAGGTAAGTAGTGATTTTCATTTTCTTTTTTTTCTCGATGGAAAAGTTCGAATGAAAAAAAAAGAAAACTAATGCAAACTTATATTTTATTTAGATTTGCGAGAAACGCCGATATAATAAATCAGTTATCGGCGAGAAAATTTTTAGAAGCAGCTCAAGAAACCAACGATCCGACATTATTTTATTCTGTATATAAATTTTTCGAACAATCGAATCAAAGGTCGAAAGGAATAACGAATTTTAGCGATTCGGTTTTGTGTCAGTCATTCGTCGAACACATGAAAAATTTATTCCCGGAAGAAAATAAGGTAAGTTTTTTTTTTTCTTATTTTTTTTCTTATTTTTTTTTTATTTTTTTATCCGGTTTTTTATCCGGTTGTTATTGTTGTTGTCGTCGTCGTCGTTATCATTATCATCGTCGTTTCGACTTTCAGAGTTTGAATAACCAAAAGCGTGTCCTGAGGTGAAAATAATTTCGAAAGCTTTCGGATTTGGAATCGAGTGGGAAAAAAAAATTATTGAATGAATGAATGGGTAGTAAAGTCGTCGTTGGAAATTTCCAAAAGGAAAAAAAAAAAAAAATTCTCGTTTATAAAAAAAATAAAATAAAATGCTTTTGAAATGATTCAAAATGGATTTTTGGTAGGGAAGGGAAAAAAAAAAAATTAATTAATTATTACGCCGCAAATTTTTTGCTGTTGAAAACGTAAAAAAAAAAAAAAAATATGGGAAAGGTTAATAATATACGTGGCTCCCTGTTCAAATATGCCAAATGGATGAATCCATTCACGCGAATAAAAAAAAAGGTTTTGTTGTGTGTACATGTACTATATTGCAGCGGTCGAAATTTATTTATTTATTCATAAAACTTGTTTACATTTTTCCGTTTTTTTTATTTTCTCTATCTATCTATCTCTTTCTCTCTTTGTGCTCCTGTTGTTTTTTTTCGAGTTGTTAGAGAGAGAGAGAGAGAGGAAAAAAAACGAATCATTTATTTTTTATACGGGCCGTTATAGGAGTAAAAAAAAAAAAAAGCAAGCATCGAATGATGATGATGAAAATTCGTGTCGTAGCGTTTCAACACTCGAAGTAGTTGTCGTAATAATTATTATTATTATTATTTTGTTTTTTTTTTTTTTTTTCGGTGTACGTGGCCCTGTCGTTTTTTACGATGACAAAAAAAAAGAAAAATAAAGAAAAACTTTTAAAAAAAATAATAAAAAGGGAGAATTTTTTTTTTTTTTTTGAAAACTTTCATTTATTTAATTGTTTTAACGAAAAAAAAGAGAAAGAAAAGAAAGGAAAAGAAAGAAAGGAAAAGAAAATTAGGAAAAGAAAAACATTAATTGCACTAAGACAAAAACAAAAGAAAGATGAAATTTTTTTTTTTATTGTCGGTTTTAATAAAAAATTGAAAAGTTTAGTAGGATTGTTTACCCTTGTTTATAAGTCGAATAAAATAAAAATTATTTTTTTTGATATTAAGAAATGAAAAAATATATATTTATGTACATAAATTTTTTTAAAAATTATTACATTGATTTTTTTTATATTTATTATTGTTTTTACTTAAAAACAAAACAAGGAAACGAATAATATTTATGGTGGATGGTTTAATAAACATTTAGCAAATGAAAATTAATAATAATGATAAGGGAATAATAATAATAATAAGTCATTCACGATGATTGGTTTAAATTCTATTATTAAAATGAAAATTTAGTACTCGCGTGATGACGTTTTTAAAAATTAAAAAAAAAATTTATTTTCTTCTTTTTCCATAAAAAAAAAATTTTGCATTCATTCGTTTTCTTCCTGTTTTTCTCGTACAAAAATAAATATATTAATATATAAATTTAAAATGAGGAGGAGGAGATGCGTGGAAGAGGGGAAGAAAAAAAAACGGTTTGGGGAGGGATTGGGGGAGGAGATGGGAGTAGAGGGGGAGGAGGAGGGATTTAAAAAATGAAAAAGGAAAACGTCAAAATATTGCCATTTAAAATATCCACATTAATTTCCTGATGTTTTTTTTTTTTTTACAACAAACAACAACAACAGAAACAACAACAAAAAAAATATATAAAAATAAATGACTTGCTCGGGTTATACTTTTTTTTATTTTTGGGCTTAAAAAAAAAATGGAAAGTGTTTTTCATCTCCGTTAAAAAATGATCAATAATAAAAAGAAAGAAAAAAGAGGTTAAAGGACAAATTTTTCTTTTTTTTCCTTTTTTTTCTTTTTAATGTTTCTCTCTCTCTCTCGCTCGAAAAAAAAAAAAAAAAAACAATTAATATGGTTATTTAAAAAAAAAAAAAAGGAGAAAAATATGATGATGATGATTATGAAAAAGGATTAAATTACGACAAAGTTTTTTTTTATGAATGAATGAATGAATGAATGAATTCATTCGTTATATTAATTATATTAAACGCGGAAAAAAAAAGAAAAGAAAAAAATTCGTTTTTAATGAATAATTGAATGATTTTAATGTTAAATAAAGTTATTACGTAAGGAAAAAAAAAAAACGTTTTCAACATTGACCTTTTACACTTTATTTACTTTTTTTCTTTTTTTTTTTTACGACTTAAAAAGGTCATAAATATCGTTTTATGTTTAAAAAAAAAAAAAAAAAACGCAAAAAACATTTTTATGTTTTTTTTTTTTACAAAAAAAAAAAAACACGTATTTAATTTTATTTAAAAAAAAAAAAAAGAAATTTAATTTTTATTTTTATTTTTATTTTTTTTTAAACGATAAATTTTTTTTTTTTGAAAATTTCCCGCCAAAAATTTAATTACATCGTAATAATAAGATTAAAAGTTATTATATTTTTCTTACTTAATAATAATAATAATAACAATCTCTTCAAACTTTTTCTTTTTCTTTTTTATTTTATAATAAATTAATTAATTAAAAGGTAAAAAATGCTGTTGGTCACAAAACGATTGCCAAAAAAAAAGAGGGGGAGGAGGTAGGGAGGAAGGAGGAGGAGGAGGGGAAGGGGGTGTGGTCTCCCACGAATTTATTTATTACCCGTTAAAAATTATTACTCTAACAATGAAAATTAATTATTTTATTTAAATAAGAGTAATAATTTACATTCGTAGGGGGGAGGAAAAAAAAAAGATGGTAATAATTAAATTATTCTTACTTTATTCCCTCCCATCTCTTCTCTTCCCTCCCTCCCTCGCCCCGCCCTCTTAACACGAAAGAAAAGAAAAACAATTTAAATATTAAATATAATAAAATATATGAGAATATAC